AGAGAGAGAGAGAGAGAGAGAGAGAGAGAGAGAGAGAGAGAGAGAGAGAGAGAGTTGCATCATGGGAAACAAATCCAAAACTCAATCCGACAGCAACACTGCAACAACTTCATCTTAGCTTTCACTTGCACAATGGGTCGCTTAGGAAATTCTCTGGACGCTCAGTTGCACACACACACACACACACACACACACACCGCATTTACAAAGAGAAGCTACGTGTCCATCAAATGCAGCGACTTCCATGGGAGTGACTATGAAATCCTCTGGAAACAGTTGCGATAATGCACACATAGCATTCACAAAGACAAGTGTGAAATGCAGCAACATTCGGGCAACAAACTGCTGGGCCCGGGGAACTGCCAAGCCCGACGAACGAACCCGCCATTCAGAGATACCATACAGCTATCTGAAATCACCAGGTCTACATGGCATGACATGCGCTGTGTACAGTGCATAGCACTTTGAAAGAAAACAGTGCAAGTACAAGAAAGTTGAAGAAACGAGAGAGCTACATTCGGGAAATCCAATCTTGCCATGTGAGAGAATCAAATCCGACTACGAGGAGTGCCATACATCCATGCATCACAGTCAAGCTTCTTCTCTTCCTTCCGCAGCTCTGCAAACAATTCATCCTTTATTGCTTTCAGTGTCTCTGCTTGCTTGTCCTCAACCACTGTCAAGTCTTCTGCCAGCATGGAGAACAAGCCCTCCTCAGACACGGAAGACGGCCGATGGGGATGGGTCAGTTGGGATGGCGAGGGCATACTCATCGTGTTCCTCATCATTCTTCCCTTCCTTCAGCTGAGATTACAGCCTAGAGATAGCCACCTAGACCTTGAACACAACAACTGCGATAGCTGGATGGTCATCCGGCTGCAACCACCTATCTGGCTCTCTGCCTGTCCAGCTATCCAGCTATCAACCAAACACACACACGCACACACACACACACACACACACACACACACACACACACACACACACACACACACACACACACACACAGAGCCACATTGCGACACGATGCAGAATGGCACATGACAATAGCAATGATCTCTCTCAATCACAGGCAAAATAAACAACGAAAATCTTACTCTCAGTCAAAATAGTTAAAATGCATGTATGAATGCTTTTACAATTATTGAAAACCACGAGTACATAGCCACATGGACCACTGTTGCGTGTGCCTGTTGTGTTTTGCAGCGTGCTTTGTTGTGTGTGCGTGCAGAGTTTTGGGTCACACTGAGGCCTATATGCTGTTCTAAAAATAGACCGGTTCCGGCCCTGCGATTGCAGGCCCAGTCTTCCCCGACGTCATAGAGGCCCTAAGGGCCTCTAGTGGGTAGAGCCCGTAGCTGGGAAGGGCCTAGAGGCCCTAAGTCGAAACGGTACCGGTAGAGCAGTTTCGGGTACCATGGAAGGGCCTCATAACTTGTATGACCAAGTCTTTGTTGCATATGTGCGCCCAGTAAAGGAAGGAGAAACAAAGGAAGAAGTCAGGTCCCAAGAGATTGAGAGGATCCTAAAAGAGTTTGCAGACGTGGCTGAAGCCCCAAGCGGTGTGGTGGAAAGACCAATCCGCCACCGCATTGATATCATTCCAGGGAGCGTGCCCCCGAAGGGGCCTATCTATCGTATGTCGCCCCAGGAGTTAGACGAACTACGAACCCAACTCGATGAGTTGTTGAAAAATGGTTGGATAAGACCTAGCTCCTCACC